GGCCCATGCCTTTAATCTCAGCACTTAGGAGGCAGAGGCAGGTGATCTCTGTGAGTTCAAGACCAGCCTGGTCTACAGGGTGAGTTCCAGGACAGCCAGGACTGTTTCACAGAGAAACCCTGCCTCAAAAAACAAAATAAACACACACACACACACTCACACTCACAAATCATCTGTTGATGGACTTTGGTGTTCGTGGCTTTACCTATGCTGTGTTTAAACAAAATGACAGTGCATATTTAAATGGTTATAAGGCCATTAACTTCTCAGGGTAGCTCTGAGTGTAAAGTCTTTGTAGGCTTCCTGGACTGTGACTTGAGTTTTTGCTCAATAGATTAGCAGATCTGTGTGCCGCCTTGGTTGGTGTACTTGCTATGGAGATTGAATAGATCTAGAGTCTGGGTTAGATAGAACACCCCCTCTCTGACTGTACAAAGTGCTTCATGCTCAGAGTGAAATATATTTCACTGTGCTTTTAGTCCAATTAGAATAATTCCACCCTTTTCAGGTTTACTTTTTAAAGTAATTTAAAATTCTTTTGAATTCGTCACTGGAAATGCATCTTTCAAATGTAAAGTAACATATTAGCTATGCCTTAAGAAGGAAATCCATGAAGGCCAATTCTTTGAGTTAATTTTTAAATTTAATGGTTATATTCTTGCTGGATTTTGGTTTTAAAGATACACTTTTATCATTGGGCACAGTGGATCATGCTGTAGTCCAAAGCACTTAAGGGGCTAAGGCAGGAGAATTTATTTGAGACAATATACACCTCTTGCATATTATACTGAGAAGCAATTATCTGTATCTTACATACTATAGCAACTCACTATCTTGAGCTCAGTTTCCTAATAATTTCTACTTTCCTAATGCAGATAAGCAATTGCTTAAATTGGAAAGGCAGTAGGGAGAGGGATGAGATAGGAGATACCAAAGTACTGTGAAATCAATCATCAGACATGTCATAGGAAATTCCTCAGTTTGTCAATCCCAAACCTGTGGTTTTATTTCAATTTATTTATTTTATTTTATGTGTCTGAATGTTTTGCCTATACGTATGTATGTGTACCACATCCATGCTTAGTGCCCAGAGCCCCCACTGGGTTTCCTGATACTGGAATTATGAATGGTTGTGAACTACCACGTGGATGCTAGAATGAAACCTGGGTCCTCTGTAAGAGCAGCAAGTGCTCTTAACCACTGAGCCATCTCTCTAGCACCCAAAGTCAGTTTTCGTCTTACTTAAGGTAAAGTTCTAAAAAGCCAAATGATTTGATGTTCTTCAGGAACAAGTTAGGAGCAGCAGTGGCAGAGAACTGTTAGGTCAGTTGATGCCCGTCAGTGCCGTCGGAGAGAAAACCCACAGCAGCTGCTCTGGAAGCACTGACGATGGCCTAGCCCGCATGTCCTGCCATGCGCCTGGCTTCAGGAGTTTCTACTTGTCATTAGTATTTGTGACCTTGATCCTAAACAGCTCACTAGAGTTTGGGGGCATCCTCAAGGCTCAAGAACACAGTGGTCTTTGAACCTATTACTCTCAGTCTTACCCAGTACTAACATATTTTCCAGTGCCTTTATCAAAATAACAAATGCGCTCTATATATGTTTGGAGCCCTCCTTCCTATGTTTTGAACTGTGTTAAAAGTGGTAGTTGCCGGGCTGGAGAGATGGCTCAGAGGTTAAGAGCACTGACTGCTCTTCCAGAGGTCCTGAGTTCAATTCCCAGCAACCACATGGTGGCTCACAGCCATCCATAATGAGATCTGGTGCCCTCTTCTGGTGTGCAGACATACATGAGGCAAGATGTTGTATTCATAATAAATAAATAAATCTTAAAAAAAAGTGGTAGTTGCCATTCCCACACATTTCCTATTTGTATTGTAGGTGTATATGTAGGCACACACAGAAATCCTCAGATTTTTATGTTTTTGCATCTTTAAAATCTTTACTCTATTGGAGGCTGTAATCTATGCCAGTAATCCCTGTTACTCATTTTAATAGTTATTTCATATCTTTTGGCAAAATTATTAGCCATTTACCTGTTGGCAGAATTATAATTTTCTACTTTTTTGAATAATGTTCATAGTGCTACAGTGGTCTGTATCTTCTCTTGTCTAAGTAGTATGCTGTAAAACTTCAGCTTTATTGACAAATTATTGTCCAAAAAGCTTATATACCAGTGTCTGCCCTTTCCACCCTCACTGCCATGCATAGAATCCCTGTAGCTTCTAATTCCTCCCATCCTTAACCAGCTTTTTATAGTATTCCTTTTGCATATAAAATGACAAATTGTCGTGGTTTTTAATTTGCACGTCACTGCTTTTCTATAAGTGTAACTTAGTTAATGGTTATAAATCATTTATCTGCCATGATTTGCCTTATCATAATCTTCTGGTTGTTGTTGCTTTTTAAGGTTTTTTAAAAATATTTATTTATTGTGTATACAGCCTTCTGCCTGCAGGCCAGCAGAGGGCACCAGATCTCATTCAAGGTGGTTGTGAGTCACCATGTGGTTGCTGGGAATTTAACTCCGGACCTCTGGAAGAACAGTCAGTGCTCTTAACCTCTGAGCCATCTCTCCAGCCCCTTCTGGTTGTTTTTTATCTTCTGGTTGTTAAGGCTTACCTAGTATGTAGGCATCTATTTTGTATTGTGAACAATAATGCCATCTAAATACATTCTTAATCTATGATGTGTATTGATAGTATTTTGATTGGAATTTTTAACATAAAAATCCATCCTTTGTAGCTTCTGATTTTGCATCTTTAAGACATTCTTCTCCCCTTTGGGGTCATGGATATTACTTGCATAAGACTTAAATTTGTTTTTCATTCATCATTAATTCAATTACAGTTTGTCTTTTCTCCTGTAAATGCTTAGTTACACCTATACCATTTAATTAATGAATGGTTTGTCCTTCTGTTAAGAGTATCGCATCTCTTATGTATCAGATACCCACATGTGCTTGGGTCTGTGTCTAAGACTTGTGTCCTAATGTTCAGTTTACCTTAAGTTGATATCAGCTAGGGTGAGTGAGTCTCCATGAGCATTGCTGGTGTTATTCAGGAGTGTCTTGGCCATTCTTGATACTACATAATTTTTATCTGAAGTTGAATTTTATGTATGCTACATATAGAAATAGAAGTTCTTTTTTAAAAATCTGGTTGGGATTTTCATGCAAATTATATTTTATCAGTTTGTTATTTGTTTAATTCAAGAATCAATGAGTGGTTACATGGAAAAGTCCTAGCTTTTGCATAAATTATTTGTCAAGAACAGACTGTTTCAAAGGTTCTTGAATAGTCAAGGTTTTATTATACTTACGGAATCACTTTTAAAGCCATCTTTATAGTTCTTCTTTATTTGCTAATTTCTTCAGAAAATGTTGATTGATTAATTGTTTTACATCTGAATTTCTGTTGTAGAATATAATAGTAGCTTGACAGTCACTAGTAGAGAAGTTTGTGTTTTTTCAGAGCTTATGATACAGTTAGTTGACACTTCTCCAGCATGTCTCAGCTAATGACGTTTGTCTACATGGTTTATGTCAGAGAGAGAGAGAGAGAGAGAGAGAGAGAGGGAGGGAGAGAAATACATATAATTTGTCTTTAAAAATGAAGTCAGATTAACTATTTGCTAAATACTTACTTTTGGCCTTCTGTAGAGACTTGTAGCCACCACAGGAAGCAAACAGCGCAGTCGCCTTTCCATTATGGCCCAGTACCTCTGCAATGTTGAACACCTCTTTACAATTCCAGGAAAAGCTTTTGTTCCCAAACCAGAGGTAAGTATTTACATATGTATGTTAGTGTATGAGTGCGAATTGTTGTAGCATTTGTTCCACTGAAGATACTTGATAGGAAATGATCTCTAAGATCTAAAACTTATCTGCAGCTGTTATATCAGAACATGAGTATTGCAAAGCATGAAGCTCTACTCAGTAAATGGAATTAAAGTATTTTAGTCTCTTTTCTGTATACACGGTGAAAATTATTTATTCATATACATACTCTTTCCATTTCCTAAGTCACTAATGTACAATCTTTTTTCCTTTAGCAGTTGTGTTATGAACAATCAGTAAGCATAAACTAGCAAATAAATTACTAGAAACCCTACAATGTTTCTTTGCACCTATGAATGGTCCAAATTTTTGTTAGAATATTTTAAATAACATGTCATAATTTATAAGTATATTTAAAAAGCATTCTTTATACTTTCAAAGTTATTTTACTTCTGTTAACTGAAGAGAACAACAGTGTTTTTGTTAACTTGAATAAAATTTGGGGAAAAAGTACAATTTAAAAGTGACTAAGCTGCTGGTGGTGGTGGCGCATGCCTTTAATCCCAGCACTCAGGAGGCAAAGGCAGGTGGGTTTCTGTGAGTTCAAGACCAACCTGGTCTACAAGAACTAGTTCCAGGACAGCCTCCAAAGCCACGAAGAAACCCTGTCTCAAAAAACAAAAAAACAAAAAAGAAGTGACTAAGCTAAGTGTAGTAGAGCATGTCTCTAAGCCCCAGCACACAGGAGGCAGTAATTAATACCCTGTCTCAAAAAACCAGAGTAAGTTAGTGAGTCAGATAGTGCTAACTGAGATTCAGTGGGATGGGGCAAACCTCAATAACTAGAGAAATGAACTTAGTCTATTTTTCTAGGTGCAGAGGAGAGAGCAGCCCTTGGGTAATTTAAAGCAGACAGAGCTTGTGCTTGTATTTGACTTGTACTCAGGAAGCTCCATGTTTCAGTGTGTGCTTGTATTGGCTTTCGTGTGCTGCAGCAGCGTTACCGGTGCATTGGTTCTATCTGATCTGGGTTTGCACAGATTATAATTCTATAGCGCATATAAAAAAGTAGAATGGACGCCAGGCCGGGGGTGGATGGCTTGTTCAACCTCTGTGTGAGTTCTAGTCCTCTGTTCCTGGAGTCTCCTCCACACCCTGTGGCTTGAAAACAGAAGCCAGCTACTCAGGCATTGTCCACCAGAGGGCAAAATAGACAATATTCCTGATCAACACCAACGGAAGGTACTTTTTATACATCATAATTACGAAAAGCTAATCTAACATATATCTCTAAAAGTAAATTCATGCTGTCACCCATTGCCTTATTAATATAGTCAGGCCTCTTTCAATTATATACTCTTAAATAAAACATGAGTATAATAATAGGCAAATAAAGAAATTCAAGACAGATACAATTGTATATGGTAGTTTGTTGTCATTTTAAAGTACATCACAATTTTTTTAAATTTTGTGTTCTTTTAAAGGAAGTTAGGCATGGTTGTGTTTTGTTTTGTTTTCTTTATTCTAAAGAAGTTTAAGCAGGCTCCCAGAAACCTCATTGAGTGTTCATGGCACAGCTCTTTACACGTAATCCTTCAGGTGGCTCTCTGGCTGCCAGGGAGGGTAGATCCGTGGTTTGGGGTTCTTTTTTATATAAGAAGTACAGAAAATGATACCGGAGATAAGCAGTAGCATCGCCGAAATGAACCCGATGTAGATGGCTCCTCCAGGCTCGTACTTGCTGCTCTTTGGAACGGTCAGATCTAGAAAGTTCGCTATGACCTCCTTGGTGTACCACACTGTTGGGATCAAGCCAGAGACTCCTGCAGTCATGAAGCAGATGCCTCCAGCAAAGGAGATTTGACTCTTGGTGTGTGTGTCCCCTCCTAAGCGAGTGCATTTCATTCCTACTACAGAGGTGCAGACCCCCAGAGCAGACAGAAGGCAGGCCAGCACCATGGTGGCCCTGGCCGTCTGCACGTGGATGGGCAGGGACAGGATGGAGTATTTCACAGTACAGCTGAACATCCCAGTGCTGTACCACGTGCAGTCCATCCATAGCCCGTGCTCCTGCACAATAGCGGTTAGAATGCTGGCGCCTGTCTCTGCATTCACCTTCCAGTTGGGCAGCAGAGTAGCAGTGAGGACTCCAGACACCCCAGATAAGGCCAGAATGAAAGCAAGGAGCTGGAGACCTGCCGAGGCCATGATGTCACTCAGCTTCTGTCCTCCTGGAAGATCCCAGTGGTTAATTGTGGTGCGTGGTCAGATGGGGAGCTATTCTGTGCAGTTGAGAACCAGTTAACACAGGCTAGGGAAAGAAGCAGAATCGGGGTTGGGGGAGGAGGAGAATAAGTAAACAAAAGGCTTCACACGGGAGCCAGAACACACCTGAATAGCACCCTTGTCTCCATGCTGCATGCACACACATGCACGCACACGCACACACACAGAGTGGGTGAGAATGCTGCCGCCTCAGAAAAAGGTTCGTAAGTGGCCTGCAGAATAGCCTTCTACTGAGTGAGCGCCACAAACGGTGTTGGGGTCGTGACATATGTAGCGTTGTCCACATAAGACCCTAAGTATGCTGAAAATGTCTGTGAAATGGGTGTATACCTTGTTGGGGAGTTTAGACACTTCAAATTGTAGCTGCAGTATCTGACACAGAATTTTATTAGCATTGTAGATCCTTTTAAATAACTGTTTTTAACGAAAATAATCCATAAACAATTGAAAGCTCAAATCTTCCTCCTCCAAATAAATTATAGATGTAGGAAAAGTTAAGAACTAAAAAATGGTCTGAATTAAATCTTCATTCAGCACACACCCAGGATATGTGCAGGAGAAAGAAAACTAGAAGGAATTTGGGGTTGTGCGCAGTCCTTACCTAGGTTAGCATCTGTTTAGCTTCATGTCCCTGGTACTAGCTTATGAAAATGTAAGATCCTTTTTACTTGCAACCAGTACCTTTCCCAGTTATAATCCAGAAGAAGTGTTCAGCTGCAAAACTGACTCCCCTCAATAATTCCGAAGCAGTGACAGAAGATCTTGAAAGTCTGTGCCAGAAATAGGCCATTATTGGCTGTAGGTAAAATAACACCCCCACCCCTTGTTTAACTTTGTAGCTGGCTTTATAAAGCAATTACCTTCCTAATTCATGTTTGTACTCTTGTACCATGCACTCCACCTGATAGTTTTTACTGCTTTGAGAGCAGTGTGGTGGTCTCTGGCATGCAATTGTGGCTGCTTCTTGTTGCTGCCGCTGTCTTTCTGAAATAATTTTTAGTGATATACTGCAGTGGGTACTGTGATTTTTTTTTTACACGCACTTACTTCACAAGTGGGCACTGTGGCACTCAGCCTCTTCATATAGCCTCGAGGTGGTTCATGGTTTCATGTTTTTTTTTTTTTGGACTTGAGTGTCCTTCCAGAAAGTGGGACATTTGAATTTTTCTTATCCTTCCTTGGGCTGACTTGATTTTCTTAGAATCCTAGATCTGAAGGAAACCTCAGCTATAATCTTGAGTGTCTTATTTTGTCAAATCGGTGTACTTGGGTGGAGCATCTGTGCCACAGACTTCTGCAGGACATGCAGCTCTTATCTCCCCCTCCTGTCATCCTCTGCCCTTCCTGCTACCCTGTGTTTACCACAGGTGCTACACAGAGACAGAGACTTTCCTGTCAGGAAAACAAAGGCCTGCCTAGGGTGTGAACAGACAGTGGCTTGGCTTTTGTTAAATACCTGAAGTGATGCTAATCTGAGCTCTGTGGAAAGCAGACCTGCCTTGGCTACAAGCCAGTCTCTAAGACACCGGAGCTCCCTCTGCCTGGATTGAGTTCTGTGTCAGTCCCGTGATTTTAGAGAAGGAGCCCCCAAGATTTTACATTGTTATGCGCCAGTGTGTACAAACCTCAGTGATGTTTTCTGGATTTCCTAGCTATAGCCAAAACAAAGTTAAAAGCTTAAGAGGGAGTAGCAAGCACATGTGTGTATAGTCTTACAATAGCTGCTGAGTTCAGGCACATGTGTGTACAGTTTTACAATAGCTGCTGAGTTCAGGCACATGTGTGTACAGTTTTACAATAGCTGCTGAGTTCAGGCACATGTGTGTACAGTTTTACAATAGCTGCTGAGTTCAGGCACATGTGTGTACAGTTTTACAATAGCTGCTGAGTTCAGGCACATGTGTGTACAGTTTTACAATAGCTGCTGAGTTCAGGCACATGTGTGTACAGTTTTGTAATAGCCTCTGACATCAGGTGTCAATCTCTGGCACTATCTCACAAACATTTCCAGCCCAGGAATTTCCAAGCTGTTGAGCTCACTGTTAACATTACCTAAGATTATCCTGATGTTTGCTTTCGGGTTTTTTTTTTTTTTTAGTTGTTGTTGGTTTTATTTTTTTAATGGGATAATTGTTATATATTGATCAATCTATCCAGATTTTCTATTATAGCCCTTTTCTTTCAATCAAACAGTGTTTTCTAAATTTCAGTGTCATGCAGACCTGCAATCAGTTGTCATAATTAACAAGTCCTGGCAGTGATAAATTGCAGACAGGCAAAATAGCAAGTAAATACTAAGACATTGCATCTAGTTAGCCCAGTGCCTGCTTCCTGCAGAAGATGACTTCACATGCTTCTTGTGCATGGAGAATTATGTTTAAAGATGTTCTCTACGGTGAAGGTCACTTCCTGCTCCAGGTGCACAGCTACACTGGCAGTCTCTCCCTTGGGGTTTGCCTCTCCAGTCACAGGCATGATAGTTTACATGGCATGTTCCCTCAGTGTCAGTGTGGCAGAGGAGCAAGGCACACCTCACACCTAGTTCAGCACCTAGTAACAGCAGCAGCAGGGATGAGGAATACTGTGGCAGTCCCTCAGAGCCAAGGGGGCACAGATGGGAACTGGAATCTTCAGGGGAGAACACGTCACATGGAGAACAGAACCTAGGAATGTCCAGTTTATGAATTGCTTGCCAAAAGGAAGTCTGTCGATTGTTCTTTTTTTTTTAAAGCCAGTTTTCCAGAAAAGATTTATTCATACCAAAAACATTTTAAGGCAGAAATATAACTTCTAATTCCAGTGAAGCAGTGCCCACAGTTCTATACTTGCTGCCTACAAGATCTAGATGATCTCCACACCTTTGCCAGGAGCCCTCACAGTCTTACCTGCACTGAGTTGGCTCCAGACGTCTTCGCTGTCTGGTGCGGAGAAGCCACCCGGAGGAGGCTGTTCTGAGGTCTGACGTTGCCATGAGGTGCCCGCAAGTGAGGGTGGAAATGGCAAATAAAGGGCTGCTTAGAGGTGAGGGAACTGCTGACGGGGCAGAAGGTAAATACCAGGTCCTCGCTCTCTTTTTCCAGCTGTGGGAGAGTTAAGAAAGGAGAGGCGGGGAGGCAGGGAGTTGTTGCTACAAAGGATCTGTTGAAACCTGAAGGCTGAGAATGCTTTTGTGCCACTGAGCGGGTTTCATTTGGGTTTTCACAAAAGGCCTCCTTTTCTTGCATATTCCGCTTTAGACAGAGTTATAATTTATTTTGAAGTTTGGTCGGTGTTGGAAGATACAATTTTATGTCCTCGGTTAAAGAATGCCGTCTGAAGTATTTTTAACTGGATTGTGCTTTGCAAATGATAGTTGAGACTACCACTTTAATGTTTTCTTCTGCTGCTTGTTGTCTTGTGTGTGAGACTAAGATGCCAAAGATTGTTAACCTTTAAAACCACTCAGAAGAGTATTTTCCTTTGAAATTTGAGTTAATTGAAGTCCAGCACCAGCTTCTGAGTAGAAAGTGGTACATTAAACCCTCAGGTGTGTTTGTCCTGCTGAGCTCTATCGCCTCTTCCCTGGGAGTCTTCCAGTGCAGCTGTGGGAGCTAGCCCTGAGAATGTGAAGAAACCGCACAAAACGAGAAGTGAAGCCCGTAGCTAACAGCTAGGCCATGAGCGTTTGTGCAGGTGCAGTTCGTGTGGCCCTTGTAGGTTATCTTTTTTTCTTAATAATTTAATTTTACAAGTTATAAATTACATAGCCCTTGGGCAGAAAGAAAGTAACCTTTTGATTAGATTTTTAATTTTTACAACCTTTTTTTGAAAATGGGTTTTTTTCATATAGTATATTCCTCCCTTAACTCCTCCCAGATTATTCCTACTTCCCCACCCGCCCAAATCCACACCCATTCTTTTTCTCTCATTAGAAACAGGCATCTGCAAAAAAAATAGACGTGATAATGAAACTGAGATAAAAGTGAAACCAGAATAGTACAAAACAGAAAAAAGCTTCTCCCCCCCCCCAAAAAAAGACCACTAAACGCACAGATGCTGAGACACATTAGATGTTAGTAGTTAATAGAAAAACATGTTTCAAATCTTTAGGCTTTTGTTGGTTCTGCTTAATCTTTTCCCACTTTGGTATTTATCACTTTACTGGTTTTCCCCATTAATAGTCTAGAGTCTGGATTCTTTTAATAAAGACTTGATCTTGTAGCAGTATGTAGATGATTCTGTGGGTGTCTACTGGGGTGTAGTTTACTGTAGGTGCTGTGTAGATGATTCTGTGGCTGTCTGCTGGGGTGTAGTTTACTGTAGGCACTTGTGGTAACAACTCTGTAATTACTGTTACTTCAGAAGCAGCCAGGATGCTCCCTTTGGTGCTGGTTTGTTTGACTCCGTTCTGGGCCTGTTGAAATGCAGACACCCTTTAGCTAGCAGATGAGCGGTAGATGAACTGACCTTCTCTTGGTCCTGGCAGCCTGCCTGCTGCATGAAGCTTAAGTGGGGGCATATTGAGAAACGCAGTGCATCACATTGTCAACCTCTGATGTGGATATTAAAGAGAAGCCTTTGCAGTCCACAGAGACCACTCAAGAGAAATACTATACCCTTAGCTTAAGGCCTTCTCCGTGAACTCCCAAGTTGTGCTCAATCTGCCACGTGACAGGAGCTGATTTAGAGACAGGCAGAACTGTCCCTTTACCTTCCCCACATGAGCTCTGTGTGTGTAAAAGCTGGTACTTCCTCCCACTTGGCAAGGCTCAAATCCCTATACGTCCTCCTCGTTTCTGTACACAACATTCATTCAGCAAGCTGCTTTGAAGGAGCTCAGAACCTCTCCTGCTTTCCTGACATAGCTCAGCAGTGTGGCTGCCTAGCCCTGACATAGCTCAGCAGTGTGGCTGTGTAGCCCTGACATAGCTCAGCAGTGTGGCTGTGTAGCCCTGCCACGGGGAAGGCCTTCTGTCCACCTGATCCCACAGGGCTCCTGAGCTGGGTGTGGGCCTGGGTCATAGTGGGGTCTAATAAGTATTTGTTGGATGAATAATTCATCACTGCTTTTCAATATATAAAGTGTTAGTTAAGCTATAAATTGCTTTGAATGGTCAAAAATAAATTTAATCATTTTTAAACAGGACTAGAATTTCTCAAGTAATTTTGGAATTCTTTGGTTTGGCATCTTTAATAATATCCACCCTGTATGAACCGACTGCTGAGACTGTGTAATAGTTAGGGCACTGTAACATCTAATTTCCAGACCACCTATGAGGTAAAGGGAATCTATATTTTGCTGGCAAGAAAGCCCAGTTAGAGCGAAGTAGTTTAACTGTGGTTATAAAGGACTAATTTGCAGGAATGGAAACAAGGCCCAGGACAGCTTCTGCAGCAACGTGCATTCCAACAAATATATAAAGAACAAGTGGGAGGGAGGGAAGGAGGAAGAGAGGGAGGGATGTGTGTGTGTGTAGTGTGTATGGCCACTTCACAATTCACATCTAAGCCTCCACTCACCACTCAAGCTAAGTCCATTTGGGGCAGAGTAGTTCATAAATTTTCATTTGTCTAGGGAAACCTTTCAAGAGATTCTTTTAACATGTTGTGTTGATGTTCAGTGCTGACCTGGCTAATACCAGTGGCTTCTCTCTCTTTCTGAAATCTGTCATGTAAGCATTCTGTAAACACACCTCCATAGTCCCAGCTGCATGTCAAGCACCTTAGTTTTTCTTCTGTCTTATTGCCTGTTCCTAATAACCAGTAATAACCTCATAGAATGATGGGCTGTCAGCTCTAAGAGAAGAAACCCACTAGCAAGGCCATGGAAATTATCAGAAAGTTTGGTTTTGGTGGCGTTTGTGGGTGACACGGTACCTTGGCTACAGCTTGGAAGCTGTGGGTAAGTGAATCAGCTCTGAGAGGCTGCTATCACAGAAGAAACAAAACCCAAGTAAGTAAATGGCAGCAGGTATACTGTGCAAGAAATAGATTCAAGAAAGGACATGTCCATGAGGTCAGGAAATATGATTGAATCTGAGTGTGTACAGTGTAATCAAGGTTACCTTCAGTCTATTACAAAACATCAACCATCTTTGCGTCCAGTCTGTATTGACATTAATAAGAGACAGGCTTATTATGTAAGAGGAAGTGGTTAACTAATTTCACTGGGGGGGGGGGGGGGTCTCTGTAGGGAGCAGTTCCAGGTTGAAATATATGGTAGGAGAAAGCTGGCTGGTCATAGTTTCTGTACACACTGGCTTTAGCTAAAGGTCAGTTGTTGACATTCTTACTTGGGCCTGAAAAGGGCTTTACCATTCCTCTGAGCATGACCCAGGGGAAGACTTTGCCATTTTTGTGAGCCTGAGGCACAGAGGTCCTTGACATGGCCCTGCTCATGTAAATTCTACACATTCACTCAGGACTTCATTAGCTCCCCACAAGGGGGCTTTTTTCTCCTTTATTTAACTAAAATTATATCATTTTCCCCTTCCTTTTCTCCCTGTAATTCCTCCTGTATACCCTCCCCGTTAGTCCCCCCCGAAACTCATGTCTTTTTCTTTGTTATGTCACACATGTGTGTGCGCACACACATGCACTGTGTGTCCATGTGCACCTGAGTATACCTAAGCATATAAATACAATCTGCTCGGTCCATTTGAATATGCATATGATTCCAGGACTAACCACGTGGTATTGGATGACCAGTTTTCTCCTGCTCTTGGCATTCTTTGGTTTTTCATGTATTGGTAGGATGCCATAAGATTTCCCCTTTCATGTTAGCATGAGGTATAGTTCAGGTCTTGTTCCGATAGGCATATTGCAGGATTATGGGTGCAGCTTCCCTGTTGTAGGAGACACAATCTCACAACAGATTTCCTGGTCCTCTGGCTTTCACAATATTTATGTTCCCTCTTTGAGGTGTTCCCTGAGCCTTAGTGCGTGAGTTGTGTTGCAGATGTGTTGATTGGAGCTGGGAACCCCAAGATCATTTGTTCTTTACATATGGACAAGTTATTTACATATGGACCAGTTATGGTTTTCTGCAATGGTCCTTGTTGCAAAGGGAAATTTCTTTGATGATGAAGGGTGAAGAACTACACTGACAGTGGGAATAAGGACATTTAGAATGCAGTTAGGAGTCATGCTGGTGTAGTAGTGTAGTGGTAGTAGGTCCTCAGACAGCCATGGTGTCACTGGCCCAATAGTTGGCTAGGTTTCTAGTACCAGGCGTGATTTCACTCCTGTTGAGCAGGTCTTACGTACAATGAGAGGGCTGTTGGTTATTACCAACGTGTGAGTGCCACTACTGCATCCTTAGGGTTTTCATGCCATGCTGGTCATCAATATGTAGTCTAAATGATGTTACCCCACTTGGTCTGATCATGCCCCCCCCAAGAGCTGTAGACCATCTAATAAAAAGACCTTGCTATCAGGCATGATGACCCCCCCCCTCTCAAGTTGTTGTTTAGGGGCATCCTAGAGACTACTAAAACAATATAGGCTGTTACTACTGCCCTTGGTTGCTTCTCAAAGGTCAAAGGTTAAGTCCCTATTGCCAGAGATACCATGCTCTTCAGACATAAAACCTGGAGGACCCAAGATGTATCTGACTGAAAGCCTTCCTCCCTGTGAGAACTGGCTTTCAGAGTACTAGAAGGTGCCATGCAAACTTCCAAGGGAAGGAAGCAATCAGCTATCCTACCTGTCAGCTGCTAGAGTATTGTGTGTCTAGTTTTTTTTTTTCTTTCTTTCCTCTATGTCTTTTTTTTTCCTGATTTTGTTTTGTTCTAACTCAAGAGATTTGAAATTCAAGAGGAAAAAAATAATGGTTGTTGTATTAAATATGTGTTCAATTATAAGCAAAATGCACTTTATATCTGTTACCATAGTTACCAACCACACAGAGAAAAGGGCCTCCATCACTCAGAGTAATTTCAGGAAGTGCTTTTGAGGGAATAAGCAGAGAAGGTGAACAGGAGGGATCCTCCCAAAGCAGGACTGTTGATAACCGAGCTCCCTGCCAGTGTTTTAGAGTTCTGCCACATAGTATTATGAATGGGAATTTTCCTTCAGTTGTGACATAATGCCCACTTAATTCCATACTAGAATAATAGTCAAACTCTAGAAGTCTTGCTTATATAGAATGCTGTTATATTTCTGTAACATTTTAAGGCTATTTAAATAGAGCAAGCATTAGCAGCTCCCTGTA